AGATTTAGAAAGAGCTATCAGCCTTTCTGCACCATGATATTAAATAAACAACATATCTCTTCTGGATATTGAAGTCCCACAATTTAAATGAACTTGAAAGGTGTATGACGCCTACAACAAATATGTTTTATTTGTATTGACATGAAAGTCAAAGGAACAAAATGTCTAAAATTATCAAATTACTAATTTAGAGTAAGTAAAAATTGGTTGCATTTTAACTTGTATATATTTATATATATATTTGAAATATCAATTTGAAGCCAACTTAATAAAATAGGTTCAAAACTTGAGACAAGCTTTTATTCTATCAAACTGTTTTGTCGGTGCAGTAGTGGACCAATCACACACAGCAGTAGTCTATAAGTGGTCTGCTGTTGACGTTTACACGGTCCAGTGGTCGCCTTGCACTATAAAATGAGATGGGACCCGCAAAAGACACAGACAACTGCTACTGTGGCTCAAATAGCGCAGGAGCCGAACTGCTTTGAAGTGAAGCAGAGTTCAAGTTTGTTCTTCTTACCCAGCTCTGAAAATCAATTCCCTCCTCCTTGGACTTCATGCCCTTGTGTGTTTTCTGCAAATTTTTTTCATTGCCCTAACATTTATCTGTTGATGTTTTTATTTTATTTTTTTGTTTTGTTTGTTTTTATGCTTCTTTTTTTTTTTTTTTACATTGTTGATTAAATCGAGTTAATTTATTAAGATAATACACCTCTCACTGCTATCAGAAGGAGCGCGGCTTGTTGAAGCCGGCCAGATCTATATGATTTTTTATTTCTCTTTATATATTTAAATAACCCTATAACAATGTATTGAATACACACTGCAAAAACAATCTAGAAATAGGTAAACATATCTTACATTTAGTGTTTTTAACCTTAATATGAGCAGGTAAATAAGAGAATTTGCCAATGGAGTGAGTATTTTTACTCTTAGAAAAAGATAATTAGTTGATATGCACTTGCAATTGTTTTTTTTTTTATTATTTTAAATGTAAATTGTCTTGTTTCATTGGCAAAGTGTCTCCCTTTCCTCCTCAATTCAAGAAAAAAATGCACTTATAATAAGAAAAAATACTTATTTAGACTTCCTTTTTTTTTTTAAGTGCACGCATTAAATCCATAGTTCGAAACGCATAGACTGCTCGTGAAAATAAAACACCAGACACATTTTAAAACACCTTAATTTTCTGCAGATTTTTATCAACAATAAAACAGCACTCTGGATAATTATCAAAGCCTAAACAGTCGGATTTTCTTATAGTTTTTGTGAAGAACTAAATCCAAAGGATGATATTACAATATCAGATGATTTGTTTGGTTTGGTTATGTGGCGGTATGTGTAAATAAGCAGTCCATTATATTTCCATTAGGCGAGGCAGCTCTGGTTTAAATCCATACGCTTCATATTCAGGTTGGCAATAAATGACTATACTTTCTGTGTTATAACTGAAACATTCATTTGCTGGCGTTAAACTTCTTATAGTTTGAAACCCGCGGGGCTTCAGCTGCAGAAAAGCAGGTTTTGTGTAACGGTCTTGAAGGTAGGTCTGTTCCTTTCTCAGCCTGCGGGGTTATTCACAGGTCGACCGTTTCCTGCTGGTCTGGGTTCTCACTACTCCATTATCCCTCCAGAAGGACTTGGTTTTCTTTTAATATGAAATACTAGACAACCCCATCGTAATTGGTCAACCTTATTTAGGTCTCACTATTTTTTTTCCTACACCAAAACACCAACTGGATTACTTAATTTACAAAAAAAAATCATTGACTTTAAATATAAATTTTGCAACTATAGAAAGCTGCGTGTGTTTTTTTTTTTTTTTTTTCCTCTGAGAGACAAGTGTTGGACTTTCAGCATTTCCCTCGGCTGGCCGTATAGCGAGGTAGACAGAATTTGCGTCTGTGAGTTCCTAATTGGAAACAGATGGGCGCAGGAGCGGCCCAGAGCTAAAACAAGGCATTTTCCATCCTGAGCTGCGCTCACTCAGCCATACAGGTGCACACAGTCTGTAGGGGCTGGACGACTGGCCTTAAGTCCATTTTACTCTCAATACCTTGGTGGGGAAAAAAATAAGTAGGCCTATGGTGTAAAACACCATTGGGATGGGGGATGGAGTGACACATTTCAGGTTGGGAGAAAATGAATTGTAAGAAAATGTAATATCTGCTGTAGAGCCAGTAAGAATGATTTAAAAAGACAGAAAAAGAGAGGCAGGAAATATACAAAAATTGGGTTAAAAAGTAGTCTAATTTGGGATGGGAAAAGAAAAGTCGACTTTTGCCTTTCCTCTTTGTCAGTAGCTGAGTTGAGTTTAAAGAAAACTATGATCGAATAGATAACACATTTTAAATTCCTCTTCTATCTTCTCTGCATTTTTTTAGTTTAACCGACGTTTAACAATCAGTCCCTACAACATATTTTGTAGATTATGATTTTTTCGAAATAAATCACGTTTCTTGGCGAATTCATTGAGGGATCCCTTAAAAAAGAAAAAAAAAACTACTCAGAAAAAAATTGCTCCAATTTGAAATCATAAACAATCCTGATGCTGAATTATTATGAGAGTGTGGCTTTTGTCTTCGCCATTTGACCCGAACCATTGAGGGAAGTCTGGCATTTTCAGGAATGTAGCGGAACGCTTCAGGAAGACTCGGTGTATAAAGTCTACAGGACTGTGGCCCTCATACTTCTGCGTGTTTGGGGCCGCGGAGCCACAACTGATAGATGTGTTTTATGAGAAGGAATAGTTTTAATCATATCTGTTAGGGCCACAAAGAAAAAAGATGAGGGCAATTCATTCTTACAGCCACCTCCATTTAAATGTAATTACATGTCCTTTGTTTTACTGTGGCATTGTGAGCAGCAGGAGGAACTAAAAATCGGGTGGGAACTGTTCAAAGCAAAAAGAACCGTTTCTTTTTCTTTTCTTTTTTTTCTCTTTCTTCACGCGTTCTGGAAACAAACACAAACACATACGGAAAAATTGAGATAAATAAAGAAAATCCCATCACATAAACCCATGTTGATTCTTTGTGTGCGTCTCGTCCTGTTGTATTGTTAACGGTGGAGCTGTGGAGGCCGACATCCTCCTCATTGACCTCCGTGTCCCTCTCTGCCTTTTCCGTCTCATGAAAAACGATTCCAGCTCTCTGATTGAATTTTATTCCTTCCTGACCCGGTCCGTTCTCTGAGAGCGCCATCAATCTTTTGACTAACACGACGTTTGTTTATTGGCCACATACACTCGGGAAGGAATCTCAGGAGTCTGATGGAGCAGCAGTTGGAGAGGCTGCTCACATTAAAGGATTTGGGGGGAGAGCGTCGAATAATTAAACAAAAGAGAAAAGATTCAACTCCACAAAGATGAAGATAATGCATGTTGTTACTGTTAGAAAAATGGCGTTGTGATTTTGTATCTTAATTCCTATTCTGGTGCGCTGATCTAAAGTTTGTTTTTGTTTTTTGTTTTTTTGTTTTTCTTGCTGAAAACAAAATGTGGAAAAAAAGCTTATATCAATATATATAACATGAAGATTACTACTATTTTTTTTTTTATTATTGAAATGTGTTTCACTGTCTGCGAGCCAAAACGCTCTTAAAAGTTACAGCGATTTTTGTTGTTGTTTTGATTTTTGTTTTTTGTTTTTTTACAAACAGCACATTTAGACTGAATAAGCGTACCATTGATGCATACTTTTAAAGCCACAAAATAAAATAAAAAATAACTCCAAATTTTATTTAAAATATTTAAAATTTTGTGCAGGAATTTTATTTACAATAAAACTGACATTTGCCTGTTTTTTGTATATATTATTTTTATTATTATTATTAAAAAAATGTATTATTATCATTATTACTTTATTTTTTACTAATAGTATTATTAGTATTTATTTGTGTATGAAATCCATGATATTTTGTCATTACGCACACAATCTGTGCAGGCATATTTAAATATACCTGATAATAGTTGTATGTATTTTAAACATGCAATGGTGGCATTTATAATAAACAAAAAAAATAGCCTATCACCTAAAATATATTTACTCTATGAGATAGATAGATAGATAGATAGATAGATAGATAGATAGATAGATAGATAGATAGATAGATAGATAGATAGATAGATAGATAGATAG